ATGCTGCGTACGTCGATGATGAGAGTCGCGATGCGACCTACGCGAAATCAAACTTCACTCATGACTCTACAGAAATTGTCCCTATTCAGTCTTTCAAAGAACATGAACCCGTTTTACCTGTACAAAACTTTCCTAAACCTGAGCCTACGTCCCTAGCCATCCCTGAAAAAGGGAGTGAAGACGAAACTCTTTGTGACACATTCCAGAGAATCGTATTGTCGAGTTCCCATATACCTATCAATGTCGACATCGTTTGAGTAAGCCTTACAATCATCCAACAGAAAAAGAAGATATTTATCCAAGTGATTTATGTATTGTGCATCGGCACCTCAAGAGTCGGCCTAAGAGATAACTAATGATCTTCCCATTGCTAGCAGAATTGGTAAAAGATCCACTCGCAATCCTTATCATATCTATAATTGCCTCTCATACAATTGTTTGTCACCATCATAGTATGCCTTTATTACACGTCTCTCTTCTGTTTCTTCCTAAAAATGTCAAGGAAGCATTAAGTCATCCGGGTTGGAAAAAAGCCATGCTTGATCAAATGGAAGCTTTTCACTCGTCAGGGAGATGGGAACTTGTCCCTCTAGCACAAAATAAACTTGTGGTCGGTTGCAAATGGTTATACATAGTTATAGTTGGTCCTAACAGCAGATAGACCGGCTCAACATCAGGCTTGCAGCCAAAGGACACACAAGTGTTTGGAATCGATTATAGGGATACATTCATTCTGTCCTATAGCAAAAATAGTATGTGTTCGCACTTTGCTGGCTATTTCAGCAATACGAAAGTAGCTATTACATCACTAAGACCAATTGGAGTGGTGTCGTATTAGGAGTCCAAAATGTTAAAGATGGAATTCTTGGACTCCTAATTTCATGTAGTGGTAGGCTAAATAGGGTATTAAACATGGGAAAGGGGGTGGATGTTGTTAGAAATAGAGGGTGGGTTGATAGGAGTGGAAAAGGGAAAAATGGGGAAGGGAGAGGAGGGTGCATTGCAAGGATGTGGGGATGACATCATCCCTGCGTCATTATAATCCCATTTTTTAAAAAAAACTCTTATAACTTTTTATTTGTTTTCCAAATTTTCCAAAAAATATATCAAAACTCTTGAAATTTTATGATCTTTCATATGATACCAATATGTAATATATAAAATGAAGAAAAAAATCTGAAGTCTCAACTATTGGAGTTTTCTAGAGCCCGAAAAACACGAAACACAAATTTTTAATTCATGGAGCCTTCACAAATAACTGAATATCCCATAATCAAACTTTACTTGAAGTAAGTTCATTTTTTGTTAATCGAAAAACATTAAAAAATGTAATGAAATTTATTTATTTTTACATCGAAATGTGTATTTTTTATTTCACAATTATTCAGGAAAAAAATTAAAAGAAAAGCATTACTTATAATGATTTAATTAATGTTTTACTAAATTGATATGTAAAAAAATATGTTGAGTGTATTTTATTGATGGTACTGGAATGCATGACAATAGAAGTCTAAACACTGTTTTCATATGGACGGAGTCCATTTTTGACATTTTGGCCTCCTCACCATTACAAATGGTCTTAGATATAAAAAATGCATTCCTGCATGGAGATCTAAAGGAGGAAATTTATATGGAACAACCTCTGAAATTCATTTCTTCCGGGGGAGCTGACCTAGTTTGCCTCTCAAATGCTCATTGTATGGGAAAAAGCAATCCTCACGTGCTTGGTAACTTTGGTTTGGAGGGTTCAGTGAAGTAGTACAAAAAATCGACATGATTCAAAGTAAAGTTGACCATTGTGTATTCTACAGACACCAAAAGGGTCTTAATATCTACCTTGTGGTTTGTATGGAATAATGCTTCTTAAGAAGCATTTATTTCAACAATTTGAAACAAAAGATCCGTCAAATTGAGATACTTTCTAGGCATTGAAGTTGCACAATCAAAACATGGTAGGTAAATATCACAACGAAAGTATGCTTTGGATTAGAGGTGGGCAAAATGGTTTGGTTCGGTCAAACCGAAAATGGATAGTTTGGTTTGGTTTGGCTCAATGAAGTAAACCGCACCGAAGAATTTTTAATACTTGGTTATTTAAAACATACTTAGGTTCACTGAAGTAAACCGTTTGGTAAGATTTTTTCAATCCGAATGGTTTGGTTTGGTTTTAAACCAAACAGTAAACCGAACAAAAGAATTTCATCACTGTTCATTTTTACGAAATAAATAAATAACTTAGATATGAAAAATACATGTTTAGCATATATCATTTTAACTCTTACACATTTCATAATATATTATTATGACAAAGTTAAGTAATAAAACATACTTGTAATTGTAATATTTTGTACTATGTAATAAAAAAATGTTTTGCGATGACATAGCACATTGCAATTATATCAATTTTAGTGTACAATGTATATTTTATATGATTTATTTGAATGAAAACATGGATTTTACGACATTTTTTCCATCGAATCATTTAGTTTTCTTTGAATATTCTATGTGATACTATATATGTGAATCAAAAATAAACTTTTGTGAGATGTGAATCTTTTTTCTAGTGGTTGATAAAATGTTAAACGTTCTAATGTCATCAATCCTAGTAAAACAAATTAGGTGTTAATTTATACTACCTCCGTCTCATTCAAAGGTTCTCATTGAAAAATGGCACGATTATTTAGACAATAATTAAATATGCTAATTTGAGTACATTTTGAGAAATAATTTTGATGAATATATAATAAAATGGGTTATTGATGATAATTGTGATGTTATAAATGTATTTTTTATTTATTTGATGATTAAATTATTATTTAAGAGTGTTAATTGTTTCCTAAAATAGAAAGTGAGAACCTTTAAGTGGGACGTTCAAAAAGGAAAGTGGGAACCTTTGAATGGGACTGAGGGAATAATATTTTATTATTCTCTTTCTATCTTTCATTTTCCTTCACATTTACTTACGTAATAAATATAATAAATAGAACGAGGTGCCGTTAACTACAATTTCATTTTCTATTTCTAAAAAAAGAACTTGGATGTATAAATCAATAAATATATGAAATATCGAATCAAGCCAAACTAAATCGAACCAAATCATTTTCAATTTGATAATCCAAACTTGAGACCGAACCGCTCCCAAACCGAAACACAAATGGTTTTAGTTTGGCACAATATCTCACAAACCAAATAAACCAAAACCGATAAAAAACGAACCGCAAACCAAATTGCCCATGATATTCTTGAAGATGCTGGTATGACAGACTGTAAGCCGATTGATACGCCAATGAATCCTAATGACACACTTATACCCACCCCTTATAACCATTAATGTGAGAACTGAGAAGACTGTTTTTTGTCTATGAACGAGGTTCATAGACAAAAATATAGTCTTCTCACATTAGTATTCACACACTTCTACCGGGACAGGGGGCCTTTATCAAACCCCAAAATATATAGAGACTTGTTGGAAAACTTCTTTACCTCACTATTACATGTAGGGGTGGTTAATACAGGTTTGGGGTGGGTTAGGGCAGGGTCCTAATTTTAGAAAACCCAAATGAGGAGGGGAGGAGCCGATGCTAAAAAATTTAGGAACCGTACATGTATTAAAATTTGAAAAAACGAGCACCCGAACTGACCCATTTTAAAATATTATTACTTTAATAAAAGACTATTATATTTAATATAAAAGACTATTATATTTAATATAATCTACTAAAAACATCCGAAATTTCTTCATTTCTTGAATCTATTAAAAAGAGCTTCAAAGTCCATACAAACTTCTAAATTATTATCCCCAATTCTTTATTTCAAATGCATCGATTTTTCTTTTTCTTTTTTGTGAACAAAGACTCTTGCTCAATAAAGTGTGACATATTCATTTAATTATCTTAAATTTACTTACACTTTGAGATTTATTAAGCTTCCAATTGTTTTCGTAAACATACTTCATATATGTATAGTGACTAGTTTAATTTTTATGACTTTGTGGTGCTATCTTTCTAGTTTATGAATGATGATGTCTAATTTCTACATTTCACAATTTGATGTTATTTAATTTGTGTGCTATTTAATTTATAGATTTGTAGTTAGATATTTTGTAAACTAATTCAAAACTCTATTTTGTATTTTTATTTTGAATTTTACTACATTATGGTGACATTGATACTTGATTGATTTGAGAATGTTGTTACCTACTAGATATTCTATTAGCGTAGTGGTATTTGTTTACAAAACATAAGAACCGAGAACCCGGATCGAACCGGCCCGTTTTAAACAAAGCAGGAAGGGTTCGGCTTTTATTTCGAGACTTGGTATACCCGGACTGTGCCCAACCCTAATTTACACGTCCAGACATCTCATTTGTTGCAAGTGTTTCCAGACAGATTTTACAATCACCGTGTGAGAGCCACTGAAATGTTGTCACTCGTATCTTAAGATACATCACACAAGCACCAGGTACGGGGTTGAAGAATCACGGACACAGAGAAATTGTGGGATATACTGACGCAGACTGGGTAGTGGGTTGGGTGGAAATCTGATTTCTTGGAAGAGTATGAAACAAGATGTGGTGGCACGATCAAGTGCTGAAGCCGAATATTGTGTGATGGCTCTTGGAACATGTGAGCTAATTTGGGTTAAGAATATCCTTTCAGAACTCAATTTCCCCAAATTCAGACCCATGAGGTTGATATGTGATAATCAAGCCACCCTACACATTGCAACAAATCCAGTTTTTCTTGAAAGAACCAAACATATAGAAGTGGACTGCCACTTCATCAAGTCTCTTAGAAGACCAAGGATAGATTATACATGTAACAAGCTTGGAGCCCATGATATATATATGCTCCAGCTTGAGGGGGATGTTAGAAATAGCATTTAAAGCATGTACCTTTTTATATATATATATAGGAGTCATGATATATGATCTGAAGTAAGGAATACAAAAAGGTTCTCTTCTTGAATCAACAGTAATAAAAAGTTAAATGAATACTTACGAAGTGCAATATTAAATCGGCCCAATCTTGGATTCTATGCCAAAGGATAAGGCATTTCCTGTGGCCTTTATCTATCCATTCTGCACGGCCTGTTATAGAAAAGAGTGTATATAAAAAATAAAAAAATAAAAACCAAGCCGTAGTCCCAAAATAGTATGTAAACAAACCGTAAAAGAATTTACTCAAAAGAGATTCATACTTTCTGAGGGGTAAGTATTAAAGAAATTTATAAGGACATTAACATTCAAACAAATTTTCTAATCTAATGATAAAAATATCACTTACCATTACACCAAGATTACACTAAAATGCTTACCATCTAAAACCAAAGCTGATAGAAATGATTCCCTTGCTTCATAACTAAGAGATCCTGCATGATGAAACAAAGTGTTACTCAACCACACAAAGGAGGAATGTACCATGTACTCACAGTAAACAAAACAAAATAAAAAAGTTGCTAATACAACAACAAAAGGGGCCCAATCACCCAGATTTACATATATCACATAATGATTGCATGAGGACATTACCTTTACGTAGAGTCTGTTCACATGCATATTAATCTAAACAATACACTGAAACCTAAAGCTTGTGCAATGCTCAGGGCTGGTGACAGCCTCATAGAGTCAGTGAAAAACACAATGGATGCTTTGATTATATAACTTGATTTAAAATAAGATGTTACATTAAATAAATAGCTTAGTCAATAAAAGGAAATCAGGACAAACACAGTGCAGCCTCAGAAGTGTTCATATTGAAAAACTGAAGCTGCATAAGATCAGCCGATGTGGATTTGTTGCAGAGTGCAGTCATAGCCTAAGAGCCTGTTTGGTGCGAAGGGAGTGAAGGGGAAAGATGATAGGGCCTGGGCTATAGAGCATAATAATAGTAGTAATAGACTGATATTAAATAAGTGTGGTATTGTATAAATAAAGATTTAGGCCCATGTCATAAAATATGGGCTGGCCCGTTAGAGTATTACTACCTCCGTCCCGCTAAGATTGTCCCATTTTACCTTTTCGTGAAGTCCCACTAAGATTGTCCCATACCAAATTTGGTAAAGATTGTGTGGCTCTAGATCATTCTTACTTTATTCTTACTTTATCACTTTAATATCAACCACACAAACTCACTTTTCTTAAGAATCGTGTCACCTTCTCTCGTCCCAATCTTAGTGGGACGGAGGTAGTATTACTATAAGAGTGGGGAGGAGGGAATAAGGGAGTTAGGCAGAAAATTAGACTGGACTGGGACTTGGGAGTGCTGAGACTACTCAAAGTGTCTCAATCTGTTTTTTCTATTTCTTTCTGTCTACGCCATTGTAATACAGTGAAGGTTCTGAAATCTTCATTAATAAAATACTAATTTCTACTGCTTTGATGGAGTTCCTAACATTGGTATCAGAGCAGTTGTCCCTGGGAAGCTTCGATCTAAGTCACGCGAAAAAAATGGAGCAGCGCAGGGAACATCGAAGGTCAGTTGCCTCTGATTTGCGCGTGAACACTGAGAAACGTGTGTCTACCCAAGGCGGAAAGGAACTGCGCAGGGGAAGCTCTGATCAGGATGCTTCGCGCGGAAAAGTGGAGAAGCTGGCGGAAAAGGTTGAAAGTGATTGGGCGAAGGAGATGCGAATCTGGTTAGACAAGATGCGCGAACATTCGCGTCGCCGGAGACCAAGAGGCCGTGCGAGGAGCCCTCCTAGATGCTGTCGGCCAACTGAAAATCAGATGTCATCCCAAGCCGCTTCAGCTTCGTCGCGAAGAGAACTCCTTAGTTTGCAGGTGACCTCGAAGTGAGCACCATCTTTTGTCGTTTCTCCTATTTCGCAAATGCGAACCATTTCTACCAGTTTACAGAAGACATGTCACAGTGCGCTGATTTCGTCGCCAGCAGAAGATCCTCGTTTGCAGAATTCTTCGCTAGCCTATTCTCTGAGTTTGCAGGATTCCCCATCAGCTATCAGTTCGCCTCAAATTACAATGCGATCAAATGGAGAATCCTTCAGCTGGCAGATGACATTCAACCAAAGTGAGTTATCCATGAACCTCGGATATGTCCGAGCCGGGAAAAAAACAGAGCTATCTCTACGCAATCGCAAGGACGCTTATAGGGGGTCGTCTGAGTCAACGCCTCAATCTGCTGGTGTTTCTGGTGGCTTTAGCAAAACTGGAAAAAGTGAAGAGTATGTGGTGTCTGAAGTTCCGTAGGATCCTACACGAGCTATTGGCTCTCTGAAAGGGAGAGGAAAGTACATAGATGAAGACAAGAGGGGATGGAAAGATAAAGGAGATAGGAACAAGAAACAAACTGAGGTAGAGAGATTCAACTGGATAACTAACACTGGTGAGGAGCTTTATGCCACTCCAAGGGCTTATTTTACTTTATATGGTCTCTCTGTCCAATCGTCATTCCTGGGAGGTGTCCTGGAAAAAGTTGGGATTGAGCCACAAGTTGAGAGGATTGGTACATACAAGTGTGGTGGTGATCAGTTACTTAATACCCAAAAGCATACCTGAAAAAAACGGTGAGATGCTAACTGTATTGCTTGATAACATCTATGAAAATTGGCTTGATAAAGTCTCTGTTACAAAATAAAAAAAAGGAGAAGATGTTAAAAATGGTATTAATGAAGGAGTCTACCAAGTTCAGAGGCTAAAAGAAGATGGCTGGATGACGGGTATAAAGTTTGACGAGGAGGTTTTGTCTAAGTTGAAAGAGAGGTTGGGCAATCAAATGGATAAGAATCTTCCTACGGTGGATCATAGGAAATACGCAGGGATCAAAAGACGGACTCTGGGTATTGCAGGCTATCAAGATCAGATTGCTCAAATGCGGGCATCTGGAAGAATTAGTCGCGTCTGTTCCCCTTTTAGTGTGCTAGGTTCATGCATTACAGCAGAGGAGATCAGTGAAAGTTTTTGTTGTGCTAGAAAATCAAAGCAGTACCAGGCTTTCGCCATTCGAATTGATAGCCCTGGGGGTGATGCACTTGCAACTGACCTCATGTGGAGGGAAATTAGACTTTTGGCAGATACTAAACTTGTAATTGCATCTATGGCGGATGTGGCAGCTAGCGGTTGATACTATTGGGCCAAGGGCGCAAAGGATACTGTGGCAGAAAACCTTACATCCACTGGCTCGATTGGAGTGGTAACAGGAAGGTTTAACCTTAAGAGTTTAGATGATACGATTGGCTTTAACGAAAACATTATATCAAGAGTTAGATTTGCAGAGCTTACTGTTGCTGATCAGCAACCATTCAGGTCTGGTGAAGCAGAATTATTTCAGAAATCTGCACAGAACGTATACGAACGGTTCCGAGATGAGGCCTCGTTTTCGAGATCAATGAATGGAGACAAAATGGAAGAGGTTGCACAAGGGAGGGTTTGGACGGGTCACGGGCAATGATACTGTCAAACGTGAATTTGTTGAAGCCATCCGTGACATTTCTCAGGAGGACGCAAAGGATACTATTGGGCCAAGGGCGCAAAGAATACTGTGGCAGAAAACCTTACATCCACTGGCTCGATTAGAGTGATAACAGGAAGGTTTAACCTTACGAGTTTAGATGATACGATTGGCTTTAACGAAAACATTATATCAAGAGTTAGATTTGCAGAGCTTACTGTTGCTGATCAGCAACCATTCAGGTCTGGTGAAGCAGAATTATTTCAGAAATCTGCACAGAACGCATACGAACGGTTCCGAGATGAGGCCTCGTTTTCGAGATCAATGAATGGAGACAAAATGGAAGAGGTTGCACAAGGGAGGGTTTGGACGGGTCACGGGCAATGATACTGTCAAACGTGAATTTGTTGAAGCCATGCGTGACATTTCTCAGGAGGACGCAATAGCAAAGCAAAAGGCCAGCATACTTCAGGAAAGAGAGGCTGAAGTTGTTAAGCTGTCAGGGTTTTCTCCATCATTGCCAGAAATATTTGAGTGCGGTAGGAAACGTGTGGCTGAAAGTATATCAATATCTGATATGCAAATTGTTTCTGACCTTGCTATTGAGATGACAAAGAGGTTCACATTTGATCCTTTTGATCTTCCAAGGGATGTTGGAACCCTTAACCAAATTGTTTATTCTGTTCATGGAGGTGAAATTGCAGTTGCCTTTTTGTGTGTTCAGGTTCATGTTTTTTCAGGTTCAAGTTTCACCCCCATGGGTTACTACCATATTAATGTTGGGACTGAAAATGTTGTTCCTGCATTCTCTATAACAAGCTGTTGTCTTATCTCTGTTTGGCATGACACTAGCAAAGACGGTTCCCTCTTGAAGCTAGTCCGCGGTTTCCCACTCTCTCTTCCAAGAAAGCAATTGAAAGGTAACTCTACGACTTGGGAACGTGAAGTTGCAGAGATGTGTTGGTGGAGTCTTTCAGTGGGAGTTGATTGGAGGGATGTTGTTGTGTGTACCCAAAATGCGGCAGAAGATGACATTCTTTCATTGGACAGCGTAATTGCTATTATGGAGCAGATCTTGGGAGTAGCTTGGCAAAAACTCTAGTAGCAGTTACTAAACCAAACCAACCGCAGTGGAAAAAGGGGCTGAGCAGAACGACATAGCTGGAGATTTTGATGTCCTATGTGGGCAGTGGAGGAGCTGGGCGGGGGCATGCAGGGGCAAGCGCCCCCGCTTCGGGCCAAAAAAATTAGTACTACCACTTATAATATATTTAATGTTCCCTTTTTTCAAAAATAAATACTCATTAAAGACAATTTTAGATTAAGTATTAAAGTAAAAGGCAAAATCTTTCAGGAAACGTGTCTCTAGGAATACAAGTACGTATTGACTGCAGCGTACGTCACTCATTTGAATGCAAGTGTGGATTATTTTAGACCTTAGATGCCACACGAATTGACTTTTTGTGGTTATAGTGCAAAAGAGTATTGGAATTAATGAATATGTTGTCACATTTCTTGAAACAAAATGATCAAAACATTCTCGAGACTATGTTGGATTCCTCCTTAATGGAAAAATTCATGAGAATTTTAGAATTTGCAAAGATGCCTACGATTTTGTATATGCGTGTAGAGAAGTATTGAATGTTTTAGAATAATAATGGTAAGTTTTCTATAAAAGTGTGAAACTCGCTAAAACCGTGCGGAAGAGTGTGAAAGCCTCTAAAACATTTTGAAGAATTGTGGAGTTCTCTAGATCCTTCCATTAGATTAGAGAAGCTTGTGGATACTTCTTGGAAGAATGTAGATGTGCAATGGTGTATAAAATATTCTAAAGAAGATTTGATGAGATTAGTATAGATAGGGGTAAGATTGCTCATTTCTATGAGAACCTTTTGAGTTTTGAGTGTGTAGATGAGTGTACAACAGTCCTATCAGCTCGTTTTCCTATGCAAAATTTTGAACATATTAAAACTCGTACGATTGATTTACCCAGATTATAGATATGAGTCAAGTAGAATGTAATGACTAATTAGTGCTAATGTATTACATTTTTTATTGTTTTTATTATATTTTGAAAAAATACACCATAAATATTGGCCTTCGGTACACCCCCGCTTCGAAAAATCTCTGACTCCGCCACTGTATGTGGGAGTCCAGAGGTGAAGGAAGTGACGATGAATGTTCAAGTACCGAGGCTAAAGGTTCAGAAGATGGTGATGTACTGGGAAGGGAGAGGCGCAAGACTAAAGATGAAGAAGATGGTCAGAGCTGTCTCTTATCACCCACCTTGAGGACAAGGTGGTTGTTCAAGGGGGGAAATATGATAGGGCCTGGGCTGTAGAGCATAATAATAGTAGTAATACACTGATATTAAATAAGTGTGATATTGTATAAATAAAGATTTTGGGCCATGTCATAAAATATGGGCTGGCCCGTTAGAGTATTATTACTATAAGAGTGAGAAGGAGGGAATAAGGGAGTTAGGCAGAAAATTAGATTGGACTGGGACTTGGGAGTGTTGAGACTACTCGAAGTGTCTCGATCTGTTTCTTCTATTTTTTTCTGTCTACACCATTGTAATTCAGTGAAGGTTCTGAAATCTTCATTAATCATCATCATCATCATTACCCCAGTGCCGCAAAGGCTCCCACCTACGGTGGGGTAAGGGGGGTCGGATGTACGCAGCCTTACCCATGTAGTAAAGCAAAGAGAGACTATTTCCGGATGACCCATAGTGTAAATCGCGTCAGAAATTGCTTAGAAATTGCTTAGACTGACTGCTACTTCATAACAAAATATAGTGAGTTTTTGCTTTGTTCCATCATATTCTCAAGCCAAAAAATAGTGAGTTTTTGGCTCCATTGCAAATGATGGAAATTCTTGTTTGGTGAGGAGAGGAATGGAAGGAGGAAAATAATAAATGGTGGGTACTATCTTCATTAATAAAATACTAACAAAGGAGATATTGAGAAAATGGTGGGTCGGGGAGGGGAGGAGGAAGGAAATTTGGCAACCTTCCTATACAAATATTTTAACCAAACAAAAGGAGGGGAGGTATCCCCGCCTGCCCCTACAACCAAAAATACCCTAATATGAGCTTGATGGGGGGAAAGGTTACTAAACACATACACACAGAAGACCAATCATCATAGATCACAAGACTCAAATCATCATTAGTAACTTTGAGAACCAATCTAAACTCAGTATGTGATTTTTCTAATCTTATCAACCCTTTGTTATTAAGTAGTACAAAATCAAAATATCAAAATGACTGGAAATCTTAAAAAAGGGATAAGACGCCTCACTCTCAATTGCAGGATTACTGAACAATGGAAAGTCCTCTTCAAGTCCTATTACATAGATTTTTTGTTTCTTACAGTAATCCATTATCAATTCCTTCCATAGCTGTGCCTGTTTCTCCCTTGTTTCCCTTACAGGCTGTAAGCTAAACAAGAAAACAGAAAAGAGCTTTAAGTTCAGCAGGTTTCCAAACAAGACTTTCAATACCAAGCAGAGGACGAGTTCTCAAAAATAATGATAGAGTCCTGAATCTCTTTATGGTATTTTGATATCACGGAAAGTTTTATGAATAATAAAATTTATCATGTTGACTTGTAATGTTCGAAGGTTTTGGAAATCTTTCTCATAATTCCATCCTAGTTCAACCTTAAGAAGGTTGCAACATGCAACAATGATTTATAGTGTGAACTAATTTTAGAATAACGGAGAAATTTACAACTGCAAATTTTATGAGAAGACTGCTATTGAGATTCATATGATGATCAATGAGCGGATCTATGGGGGTTAATTGGATTACGTGAAATAAGGAGGATAGCTGAAGAAGGGAGGGCGCTTGAAGTCATCCATTTTTGCATCCTATAGAGATCCGACACGGCCGGGCTATCCCACAGGCCTCTGTTCGAGGTGGTGTTGTTTCCTGCAGTGGCGAGATGAAGAGCAGACTTGGGTAGCGGTTTTTGGAGTGACCGGGAAAGAAATCAATTTTGTTCACTCTCACGGTCAAAACAGGTGAGCATTAGCCAAATTTGATATTGAATTGATAAAGAATAAAATAAAAAATGATTTACTCAAATTTGATTAAGTTTGGTATGAGATAATTTTAGTTGGACGGACCAAAAATGAAAAATTAGACAATTTTAGCAAGACGGATGAAGTATTTATTTTAACTTTTTCATTTTAATCTAATTAGTTTAAAAAATATACGGAGTATCAATTTTTTTATTTTTACGATCCTTAATATGATAGTGATGGCTTCACTGACCAGAGGTAGCAGAAATCAAGGGGGGACTCGAAGTGCTAACTATAGATTGAGTAGAAAATTTAGCAAAATAACAGTAAACTTGTGCGCAAGAATGGCGATCCATTTTCACAAGTTGGAAAGTGATATTTATAGTGTAAAGTGAAATACTTGGGGAACAAAGTAAAATCTGCTAGTCTATTAATACAATGACATGTGTAAAGCCTAATTCGTGAGAGATCATGTACAACTAGTTGATTGGTATTGTAAATAACTGAATTGATCCCTTTCGTATTGGAATGCGTAAGGAAGCCACATGTGGTCAATCTGGAATCTTCTATGTAAAACCGCTTGAGTAACGTAAGTTTGTGACAGTTGTCATGCGGGTAACAAAATCATCATTGCACTACAGACAACAAGTGATGAAATGACTAAGTCCACAATCTTTCCCGAGCTTGAGCTTTGTTGAGGAGGTCGAACTCAGGTGCAATGTATTTATTTGAGAGGAGGGTAATAATATGAAGCAATGTTTGCTCTTTGTTAGTTCTACACTTCTACCTCATAATATGAAGCAATGTTTGCTCGATTATAGTACTGAATTTGTTGTCGATCTCGGCGAAGGTCGACCTCGACCTCGAATGCAGTTTTGGACATATCTCGATGATCTGACAACTGACTTCGGAATCGACCTCGGCGGGCTTGGGCTCAGCAGGAAATGACTTAGTGATTTATGGGATCCTTTATTCCTGAATGTTGATACCCCGAGATATATGATAATATAATCCATCAGATACCAATATTGATACCATCAGATGCCAATATTACCCTAAATAGGACTAAAAACGTTTGTAAATTCCAAAATAGGACCGTCATGTTTTTATTCCCAAAATAGGAGTAATTACTACCAAGTTTGGAAAATACTGCCATATTTAAAGTCTGGTACTGCCAAAAAAAATGAATCTAATATATTTTTAATAAAAAATTGAACCATGAATCAAAAATATTATAACAATTTAAAAAAAAATGAATTGGTATGCCAAATGGCAACCAAAGAAGGTAGGGGGTGAACAAAATATGACTCACATGCAACGACTGTAAGTATGAATCTCGTGAGATAAGGTGGGCAAAATGGTTTGGTTTAACTAAACTGAAACAAAACGAAAATTGGTACTTTGGTTTAGGTTCACTTAAGTAAATCATTTGGTAACAATTTTCTCAAACCTAATGGTTTGACTTGGTTTGTTTTTAAATCAAAAAATTGTAAACCAAACCAAACAACTGGTAATATTTATAAAAATACTTTGTATTTGTCTTCACTCTTCATCTTTAGGATATTAATAAATAACTTAGATATGAAAATAAATGTTTAGCATGTACCATTTTAAAATCTAATCGCACACATTTCATACATTCATTATGATAAAGTTAGCTAATTGTATAAAAAGATGGTTGACGATGACAATAACACATTGTGTTAACATGGATGGATCCAGAATCTTTAAATATTGGGGGCACCTATTAAGTGAAAAATAAGTGCAAATTAACTTTAAAAATAAAGAAAAGTTGCTGAAATTTAAGTAAAAACGCTTTGCAATTCTAAAATAAGAGTACTACATTTTTATTCGCCAAGTAAGAGTAATCACTTCAAATTTAGAAAATAATGTCACTTATGTACTGTCATAGGTGGCAATTATTTAAAAACTTGACTGTAATTACTCATATTTAGGGAAAAACATAGTAATCTTATTTTGGCATTCACAAAATTTTTTACTCCTATTTAGATAAATATTTTTAAAATAAATAATCCGATTTTAAAAAAATAAAAATATTATCTTTTATGACAATCCTCCTCTACAAGTCTTTTTCTTTTGTTTTTTAAAATGGCATTATAACTTCATTTGTAACTGTACCAAACACATATTTTCTCACATAAGAAATAAGAAAATCATTCAAAATTAGTTGCTCATCCTATTGCACAACCTTGATATGAATTTGTTTTTTGCGGAAAAACATTTTTTCAATTGTAGTGGTCGCGACATGCAAAATCAGTGATAATTTCAGTAGATGATACACTATACGATATGAAAATTTTTGTAATGAAGACTCTATTTGACAAGGTAGCAAATAACTTATTTGGAAAAACATAATAAATTCAAGAGATGTCAGTTATTAGAGGTATTAGATGTCAGTTATTAGAGGTATTAGAATAAATCGTGTCCATTGGTTGATCCTACAAAGATATATGCTTGAACGATTGACAGAAGGTCATCCTGATCGTCGTTTTCAAGCTTCATTCATCTTCTTTTGATCCCGAAGCAAATCATAGAGCTCTTTTGTCATCAAATCTTCATCGTAAACCTCCCGGTGACCTCCAAAGCTCTCAATCCACTCTCGAATGCATCTCGAATCATCCCAATTTCTCCTCAAATGCCGATGTTGAACTCTAAATTCCTCATTTTGACTCCAAATGACACAAAACTCGAACCAACGCCTGTTAAAAATAACTTGAGCTAAAATTGAGACTTGTAACACCTTAAAGCTAGGAAAACCATCAAAATCCGATCTCAACACACATCAAATGCGTGTCTAAATACGGACTTATCACTGCTGTAGTGTTCTTGGGGATCCTTCTTCCCCTCATAAGGCTTGATGGGTTGTCCCCGATATTTGTTGGGGATCTTAGCCGCCAGCACCCTTGGGGTGAAAGGCGTCCTTGTGCGGAGCTGAATGAGGGGTTCGTCGGAGCCTTCGGCGAACTTGCGCTTCATCTCCTCCACCTGTGCTCGGAGGGCGGCATACTCCGGATCTGGCCCCGACGCGGAAGCCGTCGGGGGCGCTTGACGTGTCTCCTCGAGTTGACGGAGGAGGGCTTCGATGATCTCATCCTTGGGGTCCTTCGGGACAACCCCTTGGGAGTTGGCCCGGAAGGATTGGGCTTGATTAATTTGGTGCCTGGCGTCGTCGCCATGGAGGGGGCACTTGCCTTTGTCCCGAGGGGGGGTTCTCTCCTCGGCCCCCGAGACGGAGCCTCCGCTTTCTTGCGGTCTGCTGGTTGCCTTCCCACCGAGGCGGTCTTGGACCCCTCGGCGCTCTTGAGTTTGGCCCAACCTCTCGAGGACAGAGGTTCGGGGCTTCTCCTTTTGACGTTTATCCTTGGATTGAACCTCTTGGGAGGCGGTGTCTTGTGCTACGACCCCATCGGCGTTGCCAATCCGTATTACGGGATTGTTGAACAGAAGAGGGGGCGGCAGACAAGCGGCGTTCCTCCCAAAGTAGGGTTGGAGTGGTGCCTGAGATACGAAGGGCTCTAGGGTTGAGAGCCATGTTTTGAACAAAGGCCGCAAAGGCAGCCTGAAGATCGATGGCCGGGGCCGGAGGGGGAACTTGGTTCTCACTCCGATCCCTCCTTCGATTATCAAGCCCTATGCGGGCATCAGTGGCAGCCTTTTGGAGCTGTTGACGGAGGTCAGCGGTGGCTTGCTCTATTTCGGCGATAGTACCGCCTTCGGGTACCAAGAGCCTGTTGGAGGCTTCGGCCCCGTTGGTTTCGCCGGGGGCTACGTGGTTTTCCTCGAGGGTTTTGGATTGACCACGAGTTCTTCCCATTTTGATAGGTATTTTTGTGTTTGGCGAAGGGGAGGGTTTCTTACTTGATTGTTCGGACCTCTCAACGAGAGCACCAAATGATGGACAGTGTACCCGGGGTAGCTTATCTGGGGGGTTATTATGAGAATAACCTAGAGAGAATTCAGAGCAAACAAGTAGGAGAGAGAGAGACGATTGTATTAATGAACTCGAGATGTTCTGGTCCTTTACAATGGGAAAAAGGGGTGCTATTTAGTGCTATTTATAGTAGTAATAAATGCGATGAGAGTACACGTGGCGATAATCCAACGGCCGAGGGGTCACCGCAATCGGGTGGCACTGGCATTCACATGTGCACCGCATTGATTGCGGTGGGTGGATGTGACGTCGCATTAAATGCGGTGGTTGCTTGTCTCCAAAGGGAATCTTTGATGATTGAGTTGTTGGCCGAAGGCTCCCCCTTCAGCCGAGGGCTTTGTGTAGCCGAAGGCATGGGAGTGCCGAAGGCTTCCCTGATGCCGAAGGCACCATGTGTGTTTGGCCGAAGGCTCCTGGTAGCCGAGGGCTACTGTTTTACGCCGTTTTCTCCCAGTAGCTTCGTATGCTCGAAACCGGCAGCCTTGTGAGATTTGGAGCCTTCGGCCAAGGAGGCCAAAGGCACCTATTTGGGTGTAGCGGGCTTCTCGGGCTTGGGACGTTGTGCTTTGGGCCTCCTATGCTTCCTGAGCCTGCCGGGCCTTTGTAGGAGAAGTAGGAGTCTGTGGGTCGGGGGTTCCTGGGCCATATACTCCATCAACCTTCTATGAGCAAATAACTTTGTTCCTCAAGCACTACCTAAAATTGAGCAAAAAGTTGAGTCATCAAACTGGAATAGAGAAGAATATAGTGTAATTTCATTCAAAATCATAATGGCAAGCCTTATTATTTATGAAATCATAATAACCGGCCCTATCATTTGTGACTTGTGAGTTAATAAAGCAACAACCGTTTGAGAAGTGAGAACAATACCCTGAGATGTGAAATTTCTCCACAAAAGCATATGATGAGGTCCCTCAAGGTCCTCCACCACCAAGACAATACTCCCCATCGAGAATCCACCACCCAAAATCCCTAGTGTAACCATAAAATACAGAAATAAGCGATTAGTTATCAACTTCCTTCCCAACTAGTTGTATATATAGTATTCT